CACACACAGGCACCTGGGTGGCTTAGTCAGTTGGTGTCCAACTTCGGCTCAGGTAATAATCTCACAGTTCACAAGTTTGAGCCCCGCGTTGGGCTCTATCCTGACAGCTTAGAGCCTGGAGCCTGCTTCGGATTCTGTGTCTCCCTCTCTTGCTGCTCCTCCCCCGCTTGTGCTCTGTTTCTCAGAAATAAACATTAAAAAATATTAAAACACACATACACCAATGACTTGTATGTATAGACATAGAGTAATTATGGAAGAATAGACAAGAAATTGACAACAGTAGTTGCTTCTAGGCAGTTAGACACATTGGGAGACATCACTGCATGCCTTTAGAAATGGTTTTCCTTTTTATCTATTCATTAATATGGACTTTTACATTATTATTTTCTGATTTCTGCTTCCTTCTGTTACTCTTCCATTTTTCCTTGAACTTTTTAGCTCATTAAAAGCTAAATTTGGGGGTGCCTGGGTCAGACGCTCAACCGACTGAGCCACCCAGGCACCCCTAGATTTAATGTTCAGTAAAGTTGTTCTTGTATGTATTTCAAAGAGTCAGGTATTTCTACAAGACTTATCGCTAGGAACAAAAATCTCCTACCTGTTTATCCCTGCCTCAGAGTTACCACTTTCAGTTCTTTGAGCTGATTCTTTTGGTATTTACCTCCCTATGTTTAATTAACTAACTCACACTTCTTATATTTTGTCAAATTTTAGGTATTACCCATGTACTGTGCTTTATGGCCATTGTAGGCTTAACTTATCTTTCACTTCTCACCCCACCTCTCTCCCTTATGGTCTTCCTTATCTCTCTTGTACACCTCATATGTTTCCCTTATTATCACTGTGCAAATGCTATTCCTACATACATTTTGTTTTCTCTTTTTCTTTTTTTCCTTATGTATTTATCTCTCTTGCATTCTCAAACTCTTCTATATTGTTTAACTTCCTTCTCAGCAAATCCAGAATCTGGAGGTTCAGTTCCTGGCTCTACCACTTAACAAATTACTTGTATCCTCTAGAAGTGCCTAAGTTTCTCACCTATGAATTGGGGAGCAATAGAACATATCTTCAAGGATGGTAGTGAGAATTGTTTAAGAAATACTTAGCATAGATCTAAGAATGGGGCTTGACACATAATGTTCAATATGATGATAATGATATTTTGATGTGGCCGTTAAAAAAAGGTCTGTATGTTATGATATGTAATAATTTTCAAGACTGTTATTAAATGGGGTGGAGGGAAGCAAGTTGTATAATAAAACACAATTTGGATTTCCACTCCTACCATTCTTCCTTCTTGAATCCCCAGAGAAAGAAGGAATAGAGTGCTGTTTACGTCATAGGCCATACTTAAGAACTTCTAACTATTCCTTTCATCAGTATTATCTACTGTCTGCCAATTCCCATGCCAGTAGACTCCAGAGATAATTGCAGTGAGCAGACATGACATGACATATCCACATCCACGTTTGGTTGGCTTTAGAAGCTAGCCTTTGCATTATTTATTATGGGGAATATGGAGTTCATTATTCAAGAGCACTGAATGCCTACTCAACTTTCTGGAAGATATAATGGCATATTATGAGCAAAGGTATCAGGACAAAAGCACACCAGTGTGAATATTCTTCTGTACCTAATGTGTTGTACAATCTGTTGCCTTTTCCCTGATTTATTATTATATATAATCAAACATGTGGTATACCAAGTTCCTTTGTATTTCTAAAGGGAGAACGTAGCTTACCATAAGCTTAATACCACTTAAAATATGAAAGAATTGGATAGGAGGACATAGCAGAAGCAAATGTATTATTCCTATCTGAAGGTGATCTAGTTAGCTAGATTCTAGCTCATTAAAAAATAATAAATCTAAATTTATGTGGAATAAAATGCAATTAATAATATAGCTGACAAGTTTCTGTTGAATTTAATTATCTTCCTCCAAAATACTGACATAAAAGGACTGTATGATAGATGATAAGTGAGAAGCAGATTTTTCTGTGAAACTTTTTTTTTCCCCCCAACAGGATTCTTGGGATGGCCAGCATATTCCAGTACTTTTCTCCATTTTTTGTGGTTTATTAGTGGCAATATCCTATCATCTCAGTCGACAAAGCAGTGATCCCTCTGTACTTTTGTAAGTAAAATCAATGGTTACCGAATTAAACATAAGTTCACATTTCTTTCAAGTTTAACTTTCCCACTGCCTTGTCAAAGTACCGTTCACTTAATCTATATTAAGTTTCAAATATATTAACTTTGGAACATTCTAGCCAATTTGGCTGAGAAAATTTGTTAGCATTTTCTTTCCTAAAAAGTATTAAAACTATATTTTAATAAAAATATTCTCATTGTATGCTTATTTATAACATCTTAAATTTTTTAGGCATTTTCATTTGCTAATGACTAAATGTACTTGAAACACTTCATTTTTTATCATAAGTTTCATTTGCCTTTAAGTACTGGTTTTCAGGTTATGAATGTATTTCTTATTATTTTTTTCATTTTTTAAAATTTCAAGCTCTTTGGTGCAATCTAAGATTTTTCCAAAAACAGAAGAGAAAAATCCAGAAGATCCTCTGTCTGAAGTAAAAGATCCACTGCCTGAAAAACTTAGAAATTCTGTTGTAAGTCTTAACTTTTTACAATCACTGAAATATGTAAAGTTTAGACAGTTCATCATGTTGTCTCATGAAGGCCTTTTGTAACTGGGAGAAAATGTTTGTATAGTTGTATGTTGTTGATTACCTTTATGTCAGATTTTAACCTGTTAATGAAATGCTCATTCCTCCAAGTTTGTTTCTATGTAATTAAAACAGTGTGCTAAACATTCATTTTCAGATTAGGTGAAATGAAGTAATTTCATTGTTTATAGAATTCTTAATCCTGTTCAGGTTAAACTGGGATTTGAAAGATGAGTATTAACGTAAATCAGATTTTGTGTTGTTCTTGTTGTTAAAAACTATGTCCTTGTAAATCATCTGCTAGTCATTTAGTGTATTTTCTTTCTCAAGAGCAACCTGAAAAGTGTGTTTGTGTGTGTGTGTGTGTGTGTGTGTGTGTGTGTGTGTGTTTATTTTTCAGATTGAAGGGGAGAGCAATTTTCTTTGCTAATTAAATATATTTAAGAAAATATGGTAATTTAAAAATTTTCTAATTTAGTGAATTTATGTATTAGTAATTATCAGCTTTATGGAGATAGCATAAAACATTCTTTTTCTAAGTTATTTTAGATTATTTCCATTTGTGAAAAACTGTATTTATATCAGTCATGAGTTATACTACTTACCTTTACTGAACTTGAGCTGTTAACACATTCTTCAGAAAACTTTAGAAGTACAAAACTGCCTCACAATAGAATTCAGTTTTTTCTGGCTTTAGTTTCCATGTTGTCAAAGGACATTTCATGTTAAATATAGTAGGATATTTCTGAATCTCTGACAGGTGTGAGGTGGTATCTCATTGTGGTTTTGATTTGT